GCTAGATAAAAGCCTCTCCTATTATAGGGACGTTTTGCTACAATTACCGCGCTTGGTTGATGGATTGGCGGTGGTGCTAGACAAACGGCTACCACAACATACATAAAGTGTTTGTTGTGACTGCCTAACAGCGTCAGACTGTATAATAACGTGTAAAGAAATAGTTAAGATATTCAATTCAATTATAACTAAGTATGAATATTTGGAGCATATGAAAAACTAAACACAAACAATTATATAATATTTATCCAAAAACGTTAACTTTGTGCCACGTCAAAAATTCATCAGTTGTAAGTATAAATACTTTATTAAATTTTTTTTCAACTGCAGTCCGTCAGTGTGCCCGCCGCCTTGCTCATCAATCACTATCGCGAATTTCCGATTCACTGATATAATTAGATTTGAAAAATAAATAAAAAAAGTACGTGGCGGGTGGTGTATTGTGGAAGACTGTTGGCTTTTCGGGGCATTAATATATTTCATTGAACGGAATTTTAATGAAACCGCCGTGATATATGTATGTATGTTGATGAGAAGTAACATAATAATGGACGATTATTACAGCATTCATTAATGATAAATTAAAATGTGCCAGACAATTGCAAGATTTCTTTTAATGTGACCGCAAAACTATTTCGCATTACATTCTTGTTATGGCAAGTATTTTCAGACAACACATCTATTCTTAATTGAATCAAAATGCAGATGCATTGTCACCACTATGTATTTAGATGGAATGCCTTGTTAGTAGTAAAACAGTCTCCAATTTTTGTCACAGTATGAGCTGATTAATTTGCCATAATGGTGTGTATTCTGCACCACGTACAATCTTAACTATTTCTTTATTGGTCATTTACCGCCCATTCGACTGTCAGCTCGTTTATCACTTAATATTTAAAAAAGTCTTTATACGTCCCAGAGCAAAAAGCAGGCATCATCTGATTTTTAAGAGGGATTAAGAACAAGTAAGTTCGCCACGTTGCCCAAATACATGTAAATAGGCGGATTTGACTTGCCTTCCAAATATTTATTTTATTTCTAGGACATGCAGGTTTCCCCACGATGTTTTTCTTCAATGCCGAGCTTGTGGTAAATCAGCACCTAAACTTTCAATCAACACATTTTTATGTGGTAGAGCCAAGCAGTAGCTACACTATAGTTGTAGCGCGAATGGGTCGGCTCGACCGGGAAGGACCACGGTTTAACTGTATATCTGCGTAAAGTAGCAGCTTAATGCTTCTGTGTTTCGTATGATGAGTGTAAAAAACCGGAGACCCCTTTTACTGGAAACGAGGCATTCCATATTAGCGCTCAGGGATGACAACGCATCTTCATTTTTATTCTTAATCGATGTTAAATATAGATGTCTATGGGCACAGCATTTTACCATTAGGTGAACTGTGTGCTCGTGTGTACCCTTATTCTATAATAAAAAACAATTTTATTGGTGGCGACGGAGATCGAATCCAGGTCGCTCGCGTTTTACGGCGACGGCTCTTTCAAATATTAAAAACAAATATTAAATTTACACTAACATTAAAAAGTCGCAATAAAAATTAAATACAAAACACTGAATATTTTATAACCGTTCGGTACGTGACTGTCCAGCCGATTGTTCCATACATCACGAAGTAACACTCAAAACGCACTCTGTGCTATGAAAATTTATTCCTTACACAAACACGACGGGAAAAAATATTTTAAGAAACGAGAATACACATAACGCGGCAGTACGAAATATATCTAGCAAATAATGTTTATTCTTTAAATAAGGAGATCTCATTTGATATTATGATTTCAGAGTTAGCACCGTTTCAAATTTCAGTTTTATACAACAAAATAATTTAAACAGGTACGTCCAGGTAGGCTTCTTCCACTTTGGCAGTTTCTGAAGCGTTTTTTGGTCATCGATCTGAATAGTTTAAATTTGGCACGCTTACGTTACAGCTGTATTATACTTAAAATACGAAAGGTTCGGCTTAAGCATGGTAAGACCACGCTCTCAAGTGATAGTAACGTAAAATATTACAGCATTATACTTTCGTGTTTTTTATTATTAGTGAATAGATACACACAGTTTTAATTTCGTGTATAGTATTTACGGGTCCAAAACGCATTTGTAATTTGATTCCTAATCGAGGGTAAGTTTAGGTGTCTATGGATCATAACATGGTTTACCATCGGGTACTTGTGGCCCGCTTTCATTCCCATGCAAATAATAAGCCTAATTAGCTATCGAAATATTTAAGAACCACATTGATAGTGCAAATGATTAAAATTAATTGCGTTTTTTCTTGAGTGTAATTAAGAAGTTAAACATTCATCGGCGAGAAAAAAAGAGAAAATAAAGCTCTTAATTGAAAAATTACGCTACTACTATATAAAAAAAATATATCACTATTCACGAGACGAGTCTTTCGTATAAATTGACACTATCCAGTTTTTCTCCTGGACTATTACATAAGGACATTTCTCAGGTTGTCTAAAATGCCATAAAGGATGTATCGTATCGGAAAATAACTACAAGTATTGAGTAAAAAGTTGTACTATACAGTGGTAGAGCTTTGGCTCCGCAAGTATTTTCTTTGCTGTGTTTTTAACACTTTCACTGTCCGGTTTTTAGACAAAATAGTATGACAATAGCAATGACCTATATGTAGTGCAAGGGAGAATGAAAGAGTTAACTTTCTTCAAGATGAAAGACATGTGGTGGCCGCATAAGAGAATAAATTACCCCATAACGACCAATAAGTGTCGTTAATGAAATCACTGGAAAAGTCAAAATGTCTAATAGCTTCCGATAGATATTGCTCGTTTGTCACCTCATTTTCAATATTCGACATTGCATTGATAGACTGTTCATTTGTTTCACAATGCTTAGTTAAATGAAAAAATATTCTGTACAGTGCACAAAAGGCAGTAAGCTCCCATTAGGGATGATGTACGCCATGGTGGGAAATATACCATCTCTTTAACGTCAGACGAAATTTTTTAATGTATTGGTTATTATACGCTGCAGCTACATAATGGTTGTAGCACGAATGGGTCAGCTCGGTCGGGGTAGGACAACGCTCTCACAGAATACCAGCGCAAAATAGCAGCTTAATGTTACTGTGTTTTGTATGGTGAGAGAACCGGAGACACTTTTTACTGGAAACGAGGCATTCCATCTTAGTCCTCAAGAGGTGACAACGTTTCTGCATTTTGATTGATAATTGAGGATAAATGTAGATGTCTATGGGCCTGGCGTCCATTTACCATTAGGTAGACTGTGTGCTCGTTTGCCACTCTTATTCTATGAAATAAAAAAAATACGTAAAATACCCCGGCTGCCATCATATACCATACGAAACACAGCAGCAATAAGTTGCTATTTTATGCTGGTATTCTGTGAGAGCGTGGTCCTTACTTGGTAGAGTCGATCCGTTCGAGTTACAACCATAATATGCAGTGAGGCTCTACCACTTCTGACTTCACCTATATCATAATATACACGGCTACATAAATATTAAATTTTAATCAAAGATAAAATGAGGTTTTATAGTAACGTCTAACATAGGTTATTATCAATTAAGATGAAAGAAATTAATTCGTGATCGAAAATAGCCATTGATATTAAGTAAGGAGGCACCGATATCAATTCCACTTTATTCGCAATAAAGTGTAGAGTTAAGAGCTTTGGAAACAAGCCTTTCCTTAATGTTATATCATGTTAGCTATGAAATTTGATATCAACGGTAAATGCGGCTTGAAATAACAATATAATGTTTTAGAAATTTTATCCATTTTACCTATGAGAGTTTACACGACATTCGCAGAAAAACCAGAGTAGACGTAGCCCAACGAATACGTAAGCTGAAGTTTCAATGGACCGGCCATAAAGCTCGAAAAACCGAATACCGATGGGGTGGCCAGGTTTTCGAGTGACAGCCTAGTAATGGTAAGCAAAGTGTAGGGCAACTCCCCACTGGTTGGAGTGACGACCTGGTAAGACTTGCAGAAGGTCGATGGATGCAGGACCGTATTTAGTTGCATTCCTTGGAGCAAGCCTATATTCGGAGGTGGACTTGTGGAAAGGTCTTATGTTGTTGATGAGCTGACTCGAAAATACGAATCATTATTACGCCCGCAGGAATTTATTGTTCTTGTGACACAATATTCTGTGACATATGAAGTTGTATGCTAGCATTTGATAACATTTATATGCATGTGTAAATGGATACGAGAAAGAAGATTAAAAATATGTTATTTATTCATATCACCAGAATTTTTAAAGCTACATCTGGACACAGAACTATCCATGAACGTACCAGTTGACAAGCATTTCTCAGAAGATCAAGGTGGACATATAGATTGTTGATATGACTGCCGATACCCACGCACTAGAAATTTTGCTTCTTTGTACAAGCCTTTAAAGATTTAGGCAAAGTTTTCTTTAAATGGATTTTCCATCTTCAGTCGTTCACCAGACGAAATCTCAAAAAGTAAATGTTATTATTTATTGCAATTCAAAATAAGACTATTGCAAATTTGAAATAAAGACGCTCTTGATAATAACTTAATAATATATATCTATTTCGTTACTTAACTTAAAGCTTAAATAGTTTAAATCGAAAAGCTTAATCGTCTAGAGAAAATAATTCAGATTGAGTTATGAACCTCTAATTAAATTGTAGGCATATTCGAGTTATTGGTATTCATAATAGGCACTCATCAAATTTAATAGATATAAAAGCAAATACTATAATTTTATAGTGGCCTGAACCACGTATCAATGAATCAATGTACGAGAGCATAACTCACGGAGCTTACTATAACGATCTATAGATCGTATAGATCCCAGCATTGAATCGTTCAAAGAAATCATCGGAAAAAAGACCAACGAGACAGACTACCATAATGCATGCCATTGTCGCTATCTCTTTCTAACGAACTGGAACACCTTTGTTGGAGAGAATCAGGTATACCTCTTATTCAAGCTACATGTTTTTAGATCCGTCAGTCTTTTACGGGACGTGGTTGAGTGACCACGTTTTCGAAAAAAGCGGAACGATCATATTGTTTAATATTATTTATAAATACTCATTTGCATTTTTGCGCGTCTTTAGTGGTCTTTAATTTTGTATTTTAAAGTAAGAACTGAAGTTTTTAATTAAATATAAGTAGTGCTTATTGGAATAGACAAAAATATTAGAAATATTGTGTTATGTGGTATATCTTTGTGATTTCGTAAACTGGGATTTCGAATCGTCTGTCAATAATTTATGATAGGAATTCTTCTCAAAGGTTTGTGTCATTTTTTATTTTTTTTATTTTCTTTGTATAATGATATTTATTAGAGTTGCTATGATAAGTTATGTAAATATTTCTAAGGTAATTTTGTAAGTAAAATAGATGATTTATGTGTTTCACATCACATACATTTTATTATGAAATGTACAAAGTTACCAACATGTAGCCTATTTCATTATGTTTCATTTTATTAACTGGTGAGCGTCGTAAATGTAAACATGCAATACATTTTGCAAGTCTTTGCTTAAGTATGAAACTTTTTGACAAAACTCATACTGCTTCTATATTATGTGAAAGTTAGTTTAAACTTAACTCCAAAAAGAAGTTTTCCGTGGAGAAATGTTTTCCATTTCCACTTTAAATGAAAACGTACTAGTTTCTTTAAAGATAGTTATGTCAAGTCATAAATGCTTAGAACTGAAAACTTTTAAGGCAAATGTCAAAACGTATGAAATTTCATTATAGGCAAAATTAATTTAATAAAAGGAAATAATTTATTTACGTATATTATGAATAAAACATAAAAACTGGTTGAAAATTTAGAAATTTTTGTTATTTTCCTAAAATGTTTTTTGATAGAAAAATTGATTTCATTCGAAGTTTGCTTAAAACTCCCAATCTCTTTTCTTACATTCATTTTTCATTAAAGCTTATCGAAAGTCTACTGCTGAACAGAGGCTTCCTTCATAGACAGTCTCATAGGTATTTGCCATAGCTGCCACGTTTGGCAGGCGGGGTTAATACGGCAAGTTTTAGGAACATGCTGTCAGTGGCGGATTATCCTTAAGGCAATGCCTATAGGCATGTGCCAAGGGGCACAAGTTTAAAAAGGTTTAAAAGTTTTAAAACGATAAAAATTCGTCTATTTGATTACTACATGGCCCAAACTCTCACATCACATTTTTCACGCCCACCTGTTAAGGGTACTCGCTAATCGTGTCCTAATTATTTTGCAACTATAAATTATATTCATACGTGGTAGAGCCATGCTGCAGCTATATTATGGTTGTAGCACGAATGGGTCGGTTCGACCAGGGAAGGACCACGCTCTCACAGAATACCAGCGTGAAATAGCAGCTTAACGCTGCTGTGTTTCCTATGGTGAGTGTAAAGAACCGGAGACCCTTTTTACTGAAAACGAGGCATTCCATCTTAGTCCTCACGGGTGACAATGCATCTGCATTTTGATTCTTAATCGAAGATAGATGTAGATGTCTATGGGCCACAGCAACCACTTACCATCAGGTGGACTGTGTGCTCGTTTATCACCCTTATCCTATAAAAAATATATATTTTATTTGCAAAATGGATACTTATAATTTATAATATATGGCCGCTAGAGGGGTGCCGGTGAGTTGCTAGCCTAGGGCGCTGTCAATATTTAATCTGTCTTTGGTGCTGCTTACTTATTTTCTGTTTTGTTTTCCTTTAACGGCTCGTTTTTTATAGGATAAGGGTGACAAACGAGCACACAGTCCACCTGATGGTAAGTGGTTGCTGTGGCCCATAGACATCCACATCTATCTTCGATTACGAATTGCAGATGCGTTATCACTCGTGACGACTAAGATGGAATGCATCGTTTCCAGTAGAAAGGGTCTGTGGTTCTCTAAACTCACCATACGAAACACAACAGCATTAAGCTGCTATTTTACGCTGGTATTCTGTGAGAGCGTGGTCCTTCCCCGGTCGATCCGACCCATTAGTGCTACAACCATAATACAGCTGCAGCAGGGCTCTAACACGTATAAAAACTCTTACGAAATTAACGGGATGATAACGGGTAGTGGATTGCCTTACACTGACACTACACGGCACACGATGTTTTCATGTATATTTTTTTAAATTATAAAACTTGTTCATTCATATTTAACTATTTGAGGCCGTGTTAGGTTCTCCAAACATTTATGATGCAAGCCTTAAAGTGATTTCCGACGTAATACTTAGGCATTTACAACAATTTTTTTTAAATAAAATTGATATAAAAAAATAATATACAGTCCATCTGCTGGTAGTTGGCTAGAGTAGTCCATGGTCAGCTGTAGCCAATATCAACGAAGAAGGTTACAGACCTCTCACGAAGGCTATATAACCTTCATTCCCGAATACAGTGATGCAAACACTAAGTAACATTCGGTCACCTTTTTACCAAGATGCACTTCTAGACATAAAAACAGTCCTACCAACTATGCAAATTAATTTCCCAGTCAAAATTTCAGTTTATATTATTCACACGTTAAAGAATCGCCATTTATTCAGCAGTAGATGTATTTTATTAACGAATTAATTTTAATTAATTGCACACTGCTATAACGTGCGTTATACAAGATGTCGCTATGATTATATCTACACGCCTTCGCAGCCGTTTAATTATGTTGTTTACTTTGTTAGCATCGCCACTTGGACCTGTTCAATTTTCTATACTTTATATCGTTGCTGTCGATGCTTTAAGACGTCTGGATAACTTACGCGGTATTCGTTTCATTTATATTAATGCTGTTAAAAGCAATGTGGTGGCAGATATACCTTGCAATATTTAATTGATTCTAATTTGTTCTTGTGTAATTAATTGGTTCAGTGATATACAACTATGCGATATAATTTTTCTTTTTTTATCGAATGGCCTAGAAGGAGGGAAATGCTTTTCCAATTTATCATCATCATCATCATCATTACAGCCCTTCACAAATCCACTGCTGAACATAGGCCTCGCCCAGAGAATGCCACAAAACACTTTTATTTATGTACTAGCTGTTCCCGCGTGTTGTTTAGAGTATTAATTTTTTTGCGCGGAACCCTAATTCTTTTTTTAAATAAAAGTAGCCTAAGTTACTCCTTGTGACATCAGCTATCTGCCAGTGAAAATCCTGTCAAAATCGGTTCAGCCGTTTCGGAGATTAGCTGGAACAAACAGACGGACAGACGGACAGACAGACAGACAGACAAAAACTTTAAAAATTGTATTTTTGTTATTAGTACCGTATATATTTTCATCTACATTTAGTAAAAAGCTGTAATTTAGACATTACAAACAGACACTTCAATTTTATTTATTTGTATAGATGTAAACTATTTCTTTGCCGAGCTCTATAGCCTAAATGGTTTGACGAATTTCAACCTATTGGGTGTAGTTAGATTCGTTTCAGCTATATTTCAATGGTTTCCTTTGTCAGTAAACTTTTTACGTTTGTTGGCTCGTTTTATGTTCAATACAACTTATCAAATGATTACTGTAAAAAAATAGGCCGCCCCTATATATTGGCCTAATAGAGAGGATATTTGCTTTAGTGGACACGCTTAACAGGGTAGGCGGCAACCTCAGCTTTTTATTATTTTAAACTGTTATAAGGAAGAGGCTACTGCCCTCTTTCTGATTAAATTTCCCTTGGTTGCCTCTTACGCATAGGGTAGCATGTTCTCTCACGCAGCTACCCATAGTTGTGGACAAAACTATACGGCAACTGTGGGTACCATAATAATAGCTTAAATGTATAAGAGTATCTAAGTACCAGAGAGATTCAGTAAAGATGCTAAGGCAAGGATTTTTCTCGTTGCAAACATCAGATCTGTCATAGTTAAGTGTATAGTAATAGGTTTGATTTTTAATTCTATTTCTTATTCTCTTACACATACAATATTAACTTTGACAGCTTTAAACTGTTGCCAAAGATTGACGAATTTTAGCTGTATCGTGAAATTATTATGTATATATATTAATTCAACGATACAACATATAATATATATAGCTGGCCAGGCAGACGTTGTTCTGCCCTTTGAGACGACCCTTCCTATGAAAAAATCCTTAAATTCGCAATTAAAAAATATTGAAGGTATTTATCGGGATAAAAAGTATCCTATCTCTCAAGTTGGACAAAACTGAACACAGTGTGCCAAATTTAATTGAAATCATTTCAGTAGTTTAGGAGTTCATCGCGGACAAACTATAATATATATATATATATATATATATATATATATATACATATAATTTTATATATATATATATATATATATATATATATATATATATATATATATATATATATATATATATATATATACATAAATTGCACATAAAAATACATACAATCACTTGTTTGTGAGATATTCGCGGAAGTGCACCGCCGCAGTCAAACGCTTAGCCACTGTACTAATGAGTTAATCATTACCCTTAGGAATAATATAAAACAATCATGCTTCATAACTGACTTCATAAAATTTAACAACAAAACAAATAAAATCTTTACAACATAAAGTCTGCATTAAACTTTAAACATTAAACTTTCGGGTTTTTGCCAAAATACTATTAGAATTAGTAAGTTTTTTTTTATAGGATAAGGGTGACAAACGAGCACACAGTCCACCTGATGGTAAGTGGTTGCTGTGGCCCATAGACATCTACATCTATCTTCGATTAAGAATCAAAATGCAGATGCGTTGTCACCCATGAGGACTAAGATGGAATGCCTCGTTTCCAGTAAAAAAGGTCTCCGGTTCTCTACACTCACCATACGAAACACAGCAGCGTTAAGCTACAATTTTACGCTGGTATTCTGTGAGAGCGTGGTCCTTCCCCGGTCGAGCCGACCCATTCGTGCTACAACCATAATATAGCTGCAGCATGGCTCTACCACGTAGGAAATGTTATGTGTACACCGCAGTCTGAATTAATATACAAAATATAAAACACACTCAAGAAACAAAATATTTTAGATAGGTACGAGTACTTTATCAATACCTTAATTGCAGCCCACCACAATATAATTTTTGAACATGATCACGTTAAGAAGAAAAAAAACTTACAAATAGCCGGCTCAATTTAGGCTTAGATTTATTCTTAAACTGGTAAGATAAAGTAAGATGTATTCGATTTATTTATAATTAAAAGTAGATGTTTAATATAATATATAAATTATTAGAACTTTATAAATTATAGGTAAATCTAAATCGAATGGGTATCGAAGCCTATGAACAAAACTAAACTTAAGTTAGGC